GTGTAACTGATGTGATGATATTATATCAGCTCGTCTCACAGTTCATCGTGTCAGTTAGAATAGACAGAGCTGTTATTGGAGATTTTACATTAATATGATGAGTGAATGGATCCCGATGTGCCTGTGGCCTGTTTGATATTTGATATGGGATATAAAAAACTGTATTTTTAACGAAATGTTGGTGTTTCTTCTCCCCAGTTATGCCCTTGGCTTTCATCATCGTCCATTTATTTGTCTATTTCAGAGAAATAATATTATCATACAGAAGCAGAAATATACTTTTTTCATGAAAGTCTGCATTTGAAGTATCTACATTTCGTAGTGTGAAATCCCAGCCATTCTTGCCTTTGACCAGCAGGTGGCGCTAGTGTTTCAGTGAATCATATTTCAAAGCCATTATTTCAATAGTTTGAAAGATTGACAAAGCCTCCCCTTACGAAAAAGAAGTTTATTCAAGTGTGCCATTAGTATACTTCTTTTAAACTAAAAATAAGAAAGTATACTTTCAGTTTATTTTTCCTGTACTTCTCAGAAATATACTCCAAATTACACTTAAGTGTACTTGACTTATACTGAGAGAAAAGCAAGTATATTTGTCCTGTTCTTGTACTCAATCTTTTGATCCAGAAATACTTAAAAGTATAATTAAGCATTCAAAGTATATTAGTATAAGTAGTAATACTAAAAAAAAGTAAAAAAGTAAACTACTAGTATATCCATAAATTCACTTGCAGTACACATGAGATACACAATTATGAACTAGTTGTGCACTTACTGTTACACTTATAGTACACTTAAACATATACTTTTATGTATTAAAAGTGGGCCAATTTAGTCCCAAGCGGTATTAAAATAGTACACTTACAAGTTTACTACTAGTACATAGTGACATTAGTATACTTACTACATAATGTATACTCAAAATATACTGGAACATTACTTAAGTATACTACATAAAATGAACTTGAAATATACTTCTTTTTCGTAAGGGTCACTGATGCAAAATTAGATCGATCATCTCATTAGGGACACAGTAGATGTTCTGTGTCTGTGTTGCACACACTAAACTGAGTCCTTTGCTCTTTATGAACACCACGCTTCAACACTCACCACAACCTCATTTCAAATCACTTTAAAATGGCATTGATATCTGCAGTAAGTTGTTATAATTATTGCAGTAAGGGTTATACAACTGAGAGAAAACCCCATACTGAAGTCCACACAGAACATAAACATAGAGTCTGAGTTAGGAATAACATTACAGCATTCCTGGGATGCCGTTGGGTGTCCCTCCCTAACCCTGACCAGAAGACAAACTCCACACACTCTTCAGACTCGAGAGAAAACACACCATGAGGAAGAGCAAGCCCTTCTGAAGCAACTACTGAGGTGAGTGATGGAAACTTCATGCCCAGTTCGATATGTGACATTTATAAAAATATCAACATGAATTTCAAGAGCAACTAATATAAAGACACAGCACAGAATTAGGACAAACAAGCGGCTTGTAAATTTGGTTGTTTAAAAATACAAATGTTGCTGTGGACACTATACTGTAATGTGGACTCATTTCACAACAACACAGGCGACGGATGGACGGATAGACGGAGACAGATAGACAGATAGACAGATAGATAGATAGATAGATAGATAGATAGATAGATAGATAGATAGATAGATAGATAGATAGATAGATAGATAGATAGATAGATAGATAGATAGATAGATAGATAGATAGATAGATAGATCTCTCTGCTCCAGAGTCTCAGTTGGCAGTGATTCATCTTTTATAAATCGTTAAAGGTGTCCGGGAAGCGCACCAAAGCTTGATGTGATATGAATGAATATTGCTGATCACGGCTGGTGAGATTATGGGTTATGTTCGTTCTCTAATGAAGTCGAGGCTTGGAGCCGGAAACAGTATTCCTTACGCCAGGACTTCACTGAAATATGAACTTATTAAAACTTAAAGAGTGCATTGCACTGAAATAGCCACTCAGAGAGTCATTAAAGATGCATTTCTTCTGATGATCTTGTTACATTCTTTCATCACATCATAGTCTTTCATTAAGAATATAACGATAATGTGCAGTAGAAATGCTTCTCTAAGGAACAGTTTTCATTTACGGATGGAAGTGGGGAAAGGCTTTAAAGAAAGTCAGGATGTACTGTAATCTCACTAAATGGAGTTTGGGTTGTTACACCTTAAATAGTTCATTTTAAGGCCATTGTGTATAAAAGTAGATGATAGCAGACATTGTGTCTAAAGTAATTTGGCTATAAACTTTAATTAAACAGTTGTTCTGTTGTTGTGTGCCGCTTCAGTTCCACTGAACTCGTTTCAATCCGCTGTGTTTAAAATCTCAGTGGTTTTATAGTGCTTTTACAGTCATTAGTGCAGTTAGGGTTTGCATAAATGATCTAAAACTATGGCAAGTTTCAAATAATTTGAGTTAATAGTTTTCTATATGTCTGCAGGTTTTATATTTTCATGCAAGCTTTTGCATTTTAATTAGCATTCTGTTTCGAACTGCGGATAGGTTTATTAGCCGTAATCCACAACTGTAGTCCAGATACGGCAAAACAGGGAAATCTAGTATTCCAACAAACAAACAGAACAAGCCCTGACAATTGATTAAAGAACAAATACAGACACTTGATATTTAATCATATTATAGTAGCATTTGATAGATTTTACTTTAAATAAAACATTTGCAATGGTTGGTGTAATGGATGTTTTCTTGGCACACTTTAGGCCCCTTAGTGCCAATCGGGCATGATTTAAATGCCACGGCCTACCTGAGCATTGTTTCTGACCATGTCCATCCCTTTATGGCCACCATGTCCCCATCCTCTGATGGCTACTTCCAGCAGGATAATGCACCATGTCACAAAGCTGGAATCATTTCAAAGTGGTTTCTTGAACATGTCAATGAGTTGACTGTACTAATATGGCCGCCACAGTCACCAGATCTCAACCCAATAGAGCATCTTTGGGATGTGGTGGAACGGGAGCTTCATCCCACAAATCTCCATCAACTGCAAGATGCGATCCTATCAATATGGGCCAACATTTCTAAAGAATGCTTTCAGCACCTTGTTGAATCAATGCCACGGAGAATTAAAGCAGTTCTGGAGGTGAAAGGGGGTCAAACACAGTATTAGTCTGGTGTTCCTAATAATCCTTTAGGTGAGTGTATTGTTAATTATTGTTTGTTGTAAATAAGGGTGTATTTTTTTCTTTTGCACAATGCTGTCAACAAATTATAATTGCAAAGAGCATATGCAGTAAAAATGTGAAACATACGTATTCACTGTCTTGTACTCAGTTACCTCACTAATTACAGTAATGTATAACTTTACTGTAGTTTTCAGATGGCTGTGCAAATAGTATATAGTGCTGTCTTGAGCATTTTCAGGTAGCGTCACCAAGATCGGACTTTTTTGCATTGGAAGAAGAAAAGGTTATTTATCCCTCCAGATAAAGCTGATATTTCGCATGCCTCTTCCCAGGGTTACCCCTGAACCCCTAAAGAAATCACAGAATACAACATCATTACTGAGGAATAACATTACATTACATTATAAACCTCAATAAACTGGTCTCGTTTGATCATAAGCATTGATGTAGGACCGCACTGTTATTAGAATATGCAATGTAATACAGTAATTGGATCAGTGATATCTGGCAGAAGATTATTATTAGTTGATTCCCGAGAGCGTCTCGTATCACATCAAGAGACAGGCCAGGTTTATAAACTCTGGTTTTACGTAAATACTCTAATGACAGTTAGTTGGCATGTAGTTGAAAAGTTACTTATAATTAGTAGAACGTCTAAAGTGACTATCGAAATAAAGTGTAACCATATATACTGTATATATAAAAATGAGAGATAGGCATACAGATAGATAGATAGATAGATAGATAGATAGATAGATAGATAGATAGATAGATAGATAGATAGATAGATAGATAGATAGATAGATAGATAGATAGATAGATAGATAGATAGATGCATAAGTGTTTTGACATCAAATCAGATAAATGTACAGTCCTCTAAAACAAACACACAATTGAATAGATTAGACAGGATTATAGTGAAACTGCAGAGGTGTGGATCTAACGATCTGAGCAGAGAGACAGTAATGAGGCTTTAGAGAGACAGTAATGAGGTTGGCCACAGTCATGTTAGTTGGGAATAAAGCGTCAGGCAAGAACAGGCTTAGATCTTATACACAGATGCCATTATTTTCACAGACAATGTTGAAATGAATGCCACACTATGGTACTACTGTAAGTGTGTTTTCGTTTTGTAGTAGACTTAATTAACACTTGCATGAATAGTTGTATAACCCAACACACTCTAAAAAATGCTGGGTTGTTGTAACCCAATTTTGGGTCAAATATGGACAAACCCGAAATGTTGGGTTAAAAATGTAATGTAAAAATTTAACCCAACGGCTGGGTTAGTCCATATTTGACCCAAAGTTGGGTTAAAACAACCCAGCATTTTTTAGAGTGCAGTGTTAGACAGGTGAAACATGACAAGAAAAAAATAACGTGAAAAAGATATAACTATGTGTTATAGAAATCTGTTGAAGGAATTGATTCAAATTACAATGTTTTGTTAGCGGGTTAATAACCTCACTCAGACCCTACATGCAAAAGGATCTCAATTCTAGAATGTTATTTGTGCATCAGTGTCAAAACAAAGGCAATCTTTGACATTTCCTCTAATGGTGATGAATGTGTGTGAGCCTGTATCATGCTGACACACACCAGCGGCTCATGAATACGAGCAGAAGAGAGGCAGAGGAGAGAGGAGGAGAGATGAGGATCCTGCGTCCCGCTGCTGTAAGAGCCAGCTTGGGTTGGTGTGAGGAATGAGAAGAGGAGAGAAGCTGCGTATTGGAGGAAGATGGCGAGCAGTGCAAGATGATTGGCTGAGCTGTGAGGAGGCGTGGCCAGAATCTGAATGATTTGTGCGACATTTGCCAGAGAAAGAGGAGGCGAGAGACTGCGTTCAGCACTCGTGTGTGTGTGTGTGTGTGTGTGTGAGGGAGTGTACGGCATAGGAATAATCGCAGAGATCCTGTTCTGCGGGACTGGTGGGCTTCTGCTGACTGAAGAGCACAGAAGGGGCTCGATGGACTGGACCGGCTGATGCTCAGACCTCTGAACCCTGAAGCAAATACAGACGGATAAAGTGAGATAGATAGAGAGGCTATCGGACGCAGAGGCTGAGGTAGAAGGAGAAAGAAGCATCGTGGAGAAAGGGAACTCGATTTTAAGAAAAGAAACGTACAAAAGGTTTGCCACAAAATGAGAAGCAGCATGAGGGACAGGTTGAAGAGATGATGCGTTGGTTCAGAACAGAAGATCGAAACCTTGATTAGCAAAGCAATGCAATCATCTGTGTATTAAAAAGCGTGTCAGTTCTGTTTTCATCTGTCCAGTCGTCCTGTCTGGGAAACCTTCAGCTGGTTTGGAGGTCAAGGAAATACTGGATATTTGGCGTGAGTGGGACGCCTCCTGGTTTCTCCATCAGACCAGTCTGAAGCTTCCAGCTGTGCCAAGGCTCGATTGGACATGTTGAAACGAGTCTGGTCCGATGTATGTTTGTGGTAAGGCATCTTTGCCAATCAAGCGGCGTTACAGCACCGGTGTCATTGATCCAGCAAGGTCCAGTGAGTATTAATCACATTGCAGGAAATGAATGAAGTGTGTCTGGAAGATATTGAATCAGTGATTAAACACTGAGGACCGTGGGTGGACCTTTTGTTGGACTTTGAGCCTCGAATGTCCTCACCTTGTAACATTTGGCTTGTGGACTGTTGCTTCTTGTCAAGTTCCTGTTTTAAAAAATGCGAACTCCTTTTGATAAAAACAAACAAATAATGTCCATTATTTAAGGACAGCGGACTTGTGCTTTCCCACTTGCTAGTTTATCACGTTTACTACTTTGTGACTTGTCTTGTAAAAGTGGGGATCATCTGGCCCGTGGGGGTCCGGGCTCCGGCCCCGGCCCCCAACCCAAAGATGCGGCGCTCGAGTACAGACGAGACCCCGTACCGCCGCAGTCCCTCTCTGGACAGCAAACCGGGCTCTCCTCCTCTGCGCTACAGCGGGGAGTACGAGTACCACAGCTCACCCTTCATCTTTGGCATTCGCACCACCCCAGGGTCGCAGAAAGCGAAAGCCAGCTACGCCACAGCACAGGGCAGAAAGTATGTGGTGTTTTACCTGGACCTGTCCTTCATCTTCCTCCTAGAGCTGCGGCGCTGCAGGATGGCCGAGGGATGCCTGAGGGCCCTGAGATATGGCATGGTGTTCTTCAATCTGCTCTTCTGGGTGAGTCTGAATCCTATGCAGATCATCTCTTCTGTTATTCTGTTCAAATGAGAGAGAATAGTTCACTGAAACATAAAAAGAAAATGCTCTGTATTTACTTGTGTTGTTCCAAACCTGCATGGTTTCCTTTCTTCCATGAAACACGGCAGATGTTTAGCTGAATGTGTGAGCTGCTCTTTCCCAAAACACCATAACATGATCATAAACATAGTCTATGCAACTTGTACTCTACATTCTAAAGTCATTATGAAGTGAAGACTCCAGACTCGACTCAGACTCCAGTGATGAAGACTCCAGACTCGACTCAGACTCCAGTGATGAAGACTCCAGACTCGACTCAGACTCCAGTGATGAAGACTCCAGACTCGACTCAGACTCCAGTGATGAAGAGTCCAGACTCGACTCAGACTCCAGTGATGAAGACTCCAGACTCGACTCAGACTCCAGTGATGAAGAGTCCAGACTCGACTCAGACTCCAGTGATGAAGACTCCAGACTCGACTCAGACTCCAGTGATGAAGAGTCCAGACTCGACTCAGACTCCAGTGATCAAGACTCCAGACTCGACTCAGACTCCAGTGATGAAGACTCCAGACTCGACTCAGACTCCAGTGATGAAGACTCCAGACTCGACTCAGACTCCAGTGATGAAGACTCCAGACTCGACTCAGACTCCAGTGATGAAGACTCCAGACTCGACTCAGACTCCAGTGATGAAGACTCCAGACTCGACTCAGACTCCAGTGATGAAGACTCCAGACTCGACTCAGACTCCAGTGATGAAGAGTCCAGACTCGACTCAGACTCCAGTGATGAAGACTCCAGACTCGACTCAGACTCCAGTGATGAAGAGTCCAGACTCGACTCAGACTCCAGTGATGAAGACTCCAGACTCGACTCAGACTCCAGTGATGAAGAGTCCAGACTCGACTCAGACTCCAGTGATCAAGACTCCAGACTCGACTCAGACTCCAGTGATGAAGACTCCAGACTCGACTCAGACTCCAGTGATGAAGACTCCAGACTCGACTCAGACTCCAGTGATGAAGACTCCAGACTCGACTCAGACTCCAGTGATGAAGACTCCAGACTCGACTCAGACTCCAGTGATGAAGACTCCAGACTCGACTCAGACTCCAGTGATGAAGACTCCAGACTCGACTCAGACTCCAGTGATGAAGAGTCCAGACTCGACTCAGACTCCAGTGATGAAGACTCCAGACTCGACTCAGACTCCAGTGATGAAGAGTCCAGACTCGACTCAGACTCCAGTGATGAAGACTCCAGACTCGACTCAGACTCCAGTGATGAAGAGTCCAGACTCGACTCAGACTCCAGTGATCAAGACTCCAGACTCGACTCAGACTCCAGTGATGAAGACTCCAGACTCGACTCAGACTCCAGTGATGAAGACTCCAGACTCGACTCAGACTCCAGTGATGAAGACTCCAGACTCGACTCAGACTCCAGTGATGAAGACTCCAGACTCGACTCAGACTCCAGTGATGAAGAGTCCAGACTCGACTCAGACTCCAGTGATGAAGACTCCAGACTCGACTCAGACTCCAGTGATGAAGACTCCAGACTCGACTCAGACTCCAGTGATGAAGACTCCAGACTCGACTCAGACTCCAGTGATGAAGACTCCAGACTCGACTCAGACTCCAGTGATGAAGACTCCAGACTCGACTCAGACTCCAGTGATGAAGAGTCCAGACTCGACTCAGACTCCAGTGATGAAGACTCCAGACTCGACTCAGACTCCAGTGATGAAGAGTCCAGACTCGACTCAGACTCCAGTGATCAAGACTCCAGACTCGACTCAGACTCCAGTGATGAAGACTCCAGACTCGACTCAGACTCCAGTGATGAAGAGTCCAGACTCGACTCAGACTCCAGTGATGAAGACTCCAGACTCGACTCAGACTCCAGTGATGAAGAGTCCAGACTCGACTCAGACTCCAGTGATGAAGACTCCAGACTCGACTCAGACTCCAGTGATGAAGAGTCCAGACTCGACTCAGACTCCAGTGATCAAGACTCCAGACTCGACTCAGACTCCAGTGATGAAGACTCCAGACTCGACTCAGACTCCAGTGATGAAGACTCCAGACTCGACTCAGACTCCAGTGATGAAGACTCCAGACTCGACTCAGACTCCAGTGATGAAGAGTCCAGACTCGACTCAGACTCCAGTGATGAAGACTCCAGACTCGACTCAGACTCCAGTGATGAAGAGTCCAGACTCGACTCAGACTCCAGTGATGAAGACTCCAGACTCGACTCAGACTCCAGTGATGAAGAGTCCAGACTCGACTCAGACTCCAGTGATCAAGACTCCAGACTCGACTCAGACTCCAGTGATGAAGACTCCAGACTCGACTCAGACTCCAGTGATGAAGACTCCAGACTCGACTCAGACTCCAGTGATGAAGACTCCAGACTCGACTCAGACTCCAGTGATGAAGACTCCAGACTCGACTCAGACTCCAGTGATGAAGACTCCAGACTCGACTCAGACTCCAGTGATGAAGACTCCAGACTCGACTCAGACTCCAGTAATGAAGACTCCAGACTCGACTCAGACTCCAGACTTGACTCAGACTCCAGTGATCAAGACTCCAGACTCGACTCAGACTCGACTCAGACTCCAGTGATGAAGACTCCAGACTCGACTCAGACTCCAGTGATGAAGACTCCAGACTCGACTCAGACTCCAGTGATGAAGAGTCCAGACTCGACTCAGACTCCAGTGATGAAGACTCCAGACTCGACTCAGACTCCAGTGATGAAGACTCCAGACTCGACTCAGACTCCAGTGATGAAGACTCCAGACTCGACTCAGACTCCAGTGATGAAGACTCCAGACTCGACTCGACTCAGACTCCAGTGATGAAGACTCCAGACTCGACTCAGACTCCAGTGATGAAGACTCCAGACTCGACTCAGACTCCAGACTCGACTCAGACTCCAGTGATGAAGACTCCAGACTCGACTCAGACTCCAGTGATGAAGACTCCAGACTCGACTCAGACTCCAGTGATGAAGACTCCAGACTCGACTCAGACTCCAGTGATGAAGACTCCAGGCTCGACTCAGACTCCAGTGATGAAGAGTCCAGACTCGACTCAGACTCCAGTGATGAAGACTCCAGACTCGACTCAGACTCCAGTGATGAAGACTCTGTAACGGTTTAGTGCAAATAGGAATTTAGCATCCAATACAAAAGCAGCTTAATAAACCAGTAGCTTCACCAGCCTGGTAAAACAACATGTAAAATTAAACAGAAACAAAAAAAAAAGTCTTTATAATGATTAAGTCCGTTCTTTATAATGGCGGAGGTAACAGGGAAAACAAGAGATGGTGGATTGTGCTTCTACATTAATGGAAGTTGTAACAACGCTGAAGAAGATGTGCTCTCCTAGTGTAGTGGTGCTGTTAGATGCGCGTCAGCTTGTTTGAAAACAGTCGAGCACGTTGCTAGCGCATGAGGTCACACACTGCAAGAACAATTAGAGAGATCGAGTCCATCCCTATTCCCACACAGTATTCCCACTCTGCGACACAGCTCTGTCTGTGCGACAAACCGAGCCGACAGTTAGACCACTCGAGAAACAAAGTTACCGATGTAGACAAACTCTGGTTATTATTGCAACTTTGACAATAAAACAATAAAACAGCCACTACAGCTGAGTAAAAGCATAAAACAGCAATATCAGTAGCCTATCTGGAGCAGCGACAGCCAACGTGCGCCTCCGTTCACTCACTGCGATTGTAGTTTTGGAAGTTTGAATGGCGTGTTTTGGTGCTCTTCCTCAACACTGTCCATCATGTGAGGGCAGTGGGCGGAGCTTCACTCTGATTGACTGATTGACCCACTGCCCTGACATGATGGACACATAGACTGTAAAAAATATGGACAAAGTGTCTGTGACGTCACCCATAGACTCTCTGAAGAACCGGTTTGAGGCTGTTTATTGGGGGTATGGACGGCGCCATACTGGAAAATCTTGGGAAATACAAAATACAAAAGTTTCAGAAAGGATACAGAGGTGGTCTGATGTGTTGTGTCAGATCATGGCCGAGACGTCAAATTCACTCGGCGCAGCCCGTTATCAGCTGTCAATCAAAGTTAACCGCCCTTATTTGTCATACGTTTTATATCTTAATATGATCTAAACTAACGAGTTAGAAAAAAATTCACCCCCCTCACAGTTGTCAGGCACTTGGAACATATTGAAGATTACAATAAAAGTCCATGGGACCACACTGTAAACATATGAATTTATGCTGTGAAAACGGACATTATAACATGACGTCTATGGATATTTGCTCCCTTTTGGGACCGGCCTCTAGCGGATTTGAGATGTATTGCAGTTTATCGCACTTCCGGGTAGGCTTCATCTTTCAGATCAGAGTGTTCCCGCTTGGATGGACAGTGTTGAGGAAAAGCACCAAAAGATGCCATTCAAACTTCCAAAACACACATAATACAGTCCAAATCACCAGACCAGTTGTGATCGGTGGAGCCAAAATGCTTCTTTTTTCTTTATTGATTTTCAAAACATTAACATTAAATCATAAAAAGGAGGAAAAACTATACAATAAACATATTTCAAATGGTGTATTTACATCATGACATGGGATGCATGCTAAGCCTGTGAATATATGTGTGCAAATATGTGCATGTGAATGTAATGTGAATATATATAAGCTCTGCTGCAACTGTCTGGGAAACCAACAGGATTTGGGATGTTCTGCGATTTCCTCCGCTTTGGGAAAGCCGTTTACATAAATGGTCCTCCACTGGACATCAACGGAGCAGAAATCCCCGCAAACATGGCTAGAAAATAGACTCAAAGCCCAACGATGACTTCACCCTGCATTCCCTTGTGAAAAAGAAGTGTGCTTAATTAAATAAAATGCTCCCTTGTAGAGTCCTTTACATCTTTAAAAGTATAATTTGAAACTGCATATCATATAATATTAATTAAATAAATACACTTAAAGAGAACACACTTTCATGAAAATGTTTCAACACCATAAAGTACACTAAGGTTTTGTTTTATAGTCTTTCGTCAGGTTGCCTTTTTTAGTTCATGTTCTTTCCTCTTTTTCGTCTTTAATAAATTCAACATTACATCCAGTTTGAACAAGTATATTCTGTTAAAGTATATTACTTCATTCATATTTTTTCTTTTCTTTCAAAAGTGTGCTAAATTGTACTTCTTTTTCACAACGGCTTTAATATTTCTTTTCAAATATTTCATCCTGAATCTGGAGCATGTTCTGTGCCTGAATAATGCAATCGTTGACTGCGTCCCAACACACGAGTGTAGACAGGGACAAGCTGTGGATTCACAGTGGATCTCCTCCCAGATAGTGAGGGAATTTCCCCAACTAGTCCACCGGTTAGTGTATAAAGGCACAGATGCGGTCACTACACTGAGGCCTGAAGCATAAGGGGGAAAAACTTGATTTCATGTATTGTTGCTGAGAGTTCAGGCCGTTCACACCAAGAATGGTAACTATAAAGATAGAGTAACGATAGCAATGATCCGCGTTCACACCACGCACAATATCATTCTGTTGGTTATAGACCTTATGTAGCCCCGCCCCTTTTCAGCTACGCTCGTTGTCTTTCGACTTCCGGTCTGTATTTCCACTGCGATCTTGCACATCTGCTTTCCAATGCTTATGATAAACATTACAATGCTCATGATAACTTTTGTTAACTCTACAATAAGTAAATCCACTTCACCAGCTAATTACTCCTCGACAGCGATGCCATAGAAATATACAGAACCGGAAGTTCAAAGACAGTATTCTAAAGATGACGGCGCCCATGTTTCTCTGGTGCATAAGGGCTATAAGGCCGGCACACACAAAGCCAAAGGCCAGCCAGTGTCATACAGTTTTCTGCTTCGCCGGCTCAGTTTCGGGGCAGATCCAGAACGAGGATCGGCTTCGGGCCGTCAGAGAGAACTGGGATTGGCGGTTCAGCTTAGGGAATTCATAGCATGAGAATAAAAGTGAAAGTGCTAAAGACGAGTTAAGAAGTGAAGACGGTACAGACATAAGGCTGTTATAATTTGGTATCATCTTACCTGAGCATTCAAATGCACGAATATTTTCATAATCACATCACCCGACTGGAGTGTATAAAGTGATAAGCGTGCTGTGTGATTGATATTCACAATGCTAAGTAAGCGCTGCTTTGTTTACAGTAGAATATATGCAGTCCTAGTTTCAGTTTCCTTTTTGAATGACGAAAATAGACTATTGATACCAGCTGATAGATATTTAGTTATTTATTTCACACGCAGACGCAGAGAGCACGTGTAGTCGACAGCTGCCTTTAGTCCTTCAAGCGCAGCTTCTTGCTTCTGTTCAACTACCGTCAGCAGAGACGCGCCGATGTGGAGCCGTGTGTCGGGCTGGAATACAGGTTTCCAACAGCAACTAATCACTTTGGCAACCTTTATTAGAATTAAAATATTCAAAATCTTAAATAATGAAAGTCTAAATACTGAGAAAAATGTTTAACTGCTTGAAGAGATTATGTCACAAGCTGAGCGATTGAAGGCTGAATCATAGATCTGAGAGGATATGGAAATCATACTATGAGCCATTATACGTGTTTTTAAGGCGTCCGAGAAAATGAAAAGCAAAGAAAAGGGAAAAACACAAAAGAAGAACAAAACCACAATGCAGTGGAGGCTCAATCTAAATATAGTGATAATGCTGGTGTATGGCCTAAAAAACACAGAATCTTACACTTGTCGTAGTCTTTAATAAGGCTGCGCCGTGTTATCGCCATGGCAACTGGTTTGCAGTGTTTCCCAGCAGCTCGACTGCAGGATCATCTGAGCATCGCCTGTGAACACGAGTGCTGAACATGCGCATACCAGCCGCTGTGAGGCCTTCCGACCACAGAAGATGCCAGCCTTCATCCTCTAGAAGTAATACATGATTTTGACAAATGTGTTATTATTCAGCACTTCAGATATGGGATTCTTACACATTCACAATAATCCTCTCTAAATCCTAAACAATTAAGAAAGTCAAAAAGATAAATCCATTCAACCATTTTGTCAAATGTTTTTTTTTCTGCTTCTAATGAAAACGAATCGAAATCTACTAAAATTCTGTCGTCATTTACTCGCCTTTATGTCGTTCCAAATCAGCAGACTTTTGCTCATCTTCAAAACTCATAACTTTCACACTTGTAATCCAGAATCGAGTGATTTAATCCAAGTCTTCTGATGAGACATTGCTTTATATTGATGAGCAGATTTAATCTACATATAAATATTCATCAACAAACATTAAATATCATGGCATCTTAAACATGAACACCGATCTCTACTTGTGTGCCCTCCTCAGGTCCATTGACATCTTATGACTGATGAATCAAACACACATTTATTTTTGTTTTGCAGCTAAAATCAAAAGACCATTCAGCGAATAGAGTCTAACCCTTACCTGGAGCAGTTCATGTACTTATACACATATGCACAAATAATTATTATTTTAATGGATTTATTATGTTAGCATCTCAACAAATTACCGGTATGTTAACCAAGGGATCTTTGCCTGTGTGTGTGTGTGTGTGTGTAGGTATATATATATATATACACACATGAAGCTGCCCGAGGAACCAACAGGATTTGGGATGCTCTGTGATTTCCTCCGCTTTGGGAAATCCATTTACATAAATGGTCCTCCACTGAGCAGAAATCCCTGGATACATGGCTAAAAAATAGACTCAAATCCTAGCAAAGACTTTAAACCCTGAATTACAACCCTTCTTTTCAAAGATTTCAAATGGAAGAATCGCTGGCCTCAATGCGTCGCCTGATCCGAGCTTCAGTCCGACCGCACCATCAGCCGAGAACCGGAGAGCGAACGCGTCCGGAGAACAGTGAGCTCTGATGAAGCCATTCGAGAAACATCTTCAGTGAATGCTCCAGAATAAACAGTCAATGACCACCAAAGATGACAGAAACCTGCCATACTCCTGATGAATCTGAGTGCAGTTTAAGTGTCATAAGAACACAGGCTTCGTCTCGGCTGAGGACTAGTGACTAGTGCAGGTTTGGTGTGTTTCAGTGTTGCCGAGCTCCAGTGTAGGCAGTGTTTCAGGCATTCAAACTGTAAGAATTAAAAGATGCCTTTTTCTGGCCAAACTCCAAGCCAGCATGCCATCCCACACTGCATCGCCACGAACTCAGTGAAAACCCTTCCAGGATGGAGGAGAGTCGAGAGCAACGTTGAATATAAATATAGTTTAGTCAACGGCGAAGAGTTCACTAGAAATGCTTGTTGTACACCGTGTGTGTGTGTGTATATAACTAAACGTTTCATGTTTATGTCGTATCAAAAATAAATGTGTGTTGAAAGTGATGTCACTGCTGCAATAGTGCCTTTTTTTAAAGCTCACTATAGTGCAGATTAGGACAGATATTCCTGAACAAAGCCTCGTTCTGGACACTGTTGACGAGAGCCAGGCGTGTGTGTCCTCCAGCACATCAGACCCGTTCGCTGTACCCCTATAAATACTGCAGCTGGCAGGATTGTGCGGCGCATCTTACCCAAGGGGACCAGTGACCCACATCAGCAACACAAACACGCTTCACACCTGCATAAACGAGTTAGCGGCCGCTAATCATGACACAATGAGCTGCACTGTGTGCGAACAGGCATGAGAGTGTGTGTGAGCTGCATGAGTGAAGAGAGAGAGGAAGAACAGGTGTGTGAGCAGCAGGAGCTCTCGGCTTGTCCATCATCAGGGCCGACAGTAGACTGGAGTCGCCCGGTGGAGGTGCCGCTTTGCTGCGATACTGGAGATATATTACATACAGCTTGACATTATTTACATGTGAGAGCAAAACAAAAGACTTCAGTTGTGGCTCATCCGATCAGACTGTAGTTCAGATGTTCGAGTGTTTCAGGGTTTCAGATCAGGAAGCTGCTTATGTTGGATCATTCTGATCTGATCTTTTGCTTTCTAGTCATAAAAGTCCAAATAAATTGAAATTGTCAAATGCGATCAAGCACATTTCATTGTTATTCCTCATGAAGAAAATGGTCAAAGTCCAGAAACTAGCCTTGCTGTTGTCACGGATCCACCGAGCGACACCCCCCCAGCCTCAGCACACCTGGTCACGCTCATCATCCCCGTATACTGATTACTCTCCACCTGCACACAGGACTTAAGCTTCAGTCTCTCCATTGTTCTCGGTCCGCTCTCGTCTATCGATGCGTTTGACTCACCCGGTTCCTCATGCTTCTCTGGGTCCAGGATTCCCGTGTACTCGCAGAAAGTATACTCAAGTTTATCACTAACCACTCTCCTGTGCGTATTTACAAGCAGTCATGTGCAAAGTCAAAGTTCACCCTTTCAGGGCTTGGGCCCTAAAAAACAGAGCTATTCCAAGAGGGTCCTCACACCATCGGTGCTTGGGCCCTAACTAGTGGTACTAAAACAAATCTATGCCAGTTTTATATCAAATGTAGTTTTGTCTGTGGACTTTTCCGTCAGCTCAGTGATATTTTACATGCTCGCTCTCTCTCTCTCTCTCTCAGCTGGGTGGCTGTGGGATTCTCGGAGTAGGAGTTTGGCTTTCCATCACCCAGGGAAACTTCGCCACCCTCTCATCCTCCCTTCCGTCGCTCTCGGCCGCTAATCTGCTCATCGCTGCAGGAAGCATCATCATGGTGATTGGCTGTCTGGGGTGTGTGGGAGCGGTCAAAGAGAACCGTCCGTTACTCCTGAGCGTGAGTGAACCAATACACTAGCATGCCGAACAAGACATCCAACAGGACATGTATGAGGGCTCGATTATGAAATAATCATATAGTTATTTAGCAAGTTTTAGAATAAAATATGTTTAACAATAGCATTTATTCTTGAAGTGACATGAGTTTGACTCACATGTCTAAGCGCAGGTCCTGTATTTGATCTGCATACGGCCCAGATCCGGCTGACTAAATCATGTGTTGTGGTCGTGTCTAGGCGCAGGTCCTCCAATTGATCTGGATACGGCCCAGATCCGGCTGACAACAGTAAACCTTTTTACAAACAGAGAAACTATTATTAGCATAGATGCCATTCCTCTTATGATGAGTACATCAGTGACACTGAAGCTGGATGCGTCCGATAAGAAAAACATCAACAGGGGCTCCAGGAATGCTTTTAAAACCCCTGGTTTACACCATTTTTCCCATAGGGAGAGGTCATTTAAAATGGTTTTGAGATTGGTGAAATTAAAAAAATATATTTTTTTACTCTCTGTATCTTGACATAAAGGCAGTCAGAGACCCGCAGATAGTTTTAGAGGACATGTTTCAAGGGGCCAGTGAGGCGTTCTGTCAGAGCGTCCCGAGACAGATGCAGATATCGGTCCGTCAGAACCTCACAGGGCCTGGGCTGGATCGTTGTATTTCAGTTGAATGCATGCTAAAAATCCTGAAGGGCAAAGCAGAATGGTGGAGTGGTGTTCAAACCTCTTTCCTTCATCAGATCAGCACAACTGGCGTAAAACTGGTGATCCAACAGTGATGAGAAATCAAAGAGGAAACCCAAAGTCATGAATGATCTCAACAGCTTTCTCATTCTCTGTCAGCAGCAGATCTTCCACTCATTCTTCTGCATTAATTTCACACTGTTTGTTTAATCCAGTGAGTGGCGGCCAGTTCTCTTCGCAAAAGATATATTTTTTAATCCAGTAAAAATATCTGTGTTTGTGCCAGTCCTATCACAGCTGATAGCACATCCAATTCAATCCTCAATTTGTAAAATGAATGTCAAGCGACTGCCTTTTAATTGGATTCTCTGCATTATTGAATGAGTCTGAAACAAACTACATGTATTTCAGTCAGGACCACTATCGTCAAATACGATTGACAATTAGCATAGAGTGTGGATTGGCGGTATGGTTCTGTTCTGGGCGAGAACACCCTGAGCATCAATGAAGCCTAGCATGAATAAGAGCAGCAACAACCCTCCTTAGGGGAAACAGAACACAACCAACATCAATGTACTGCAGATATCATTAGATTTTAAAGTACAACATTATTTGAGAATTTAATCTGATTGAAGGGGAATCCGACTGCCATCCAGACTGAGACAGAATGAGCTGGGGAGGGAGGAGGGCAAGCGCTCCTGAGAACGCAATAGCTGTGGATAATACTGAAGGAGTTATCTATGAATACAGTTATAGGCGGCGTATTCCTATAGGTAGACGTGGATCAGCTGAGAGAAAGCTGATGTAAGCTTGACTAACGTGACCTGCCAGAACTGAGGTTACTCTTGATTTCTGTCAGGAACACTATCATCAAATACGATTGACAATTAGCACACAGTTTGGATTGGCGGTATGGTTCCTTTTTGGGCGAGAACACCCTGAGCATCAATGCAGCCTAGCATGAATAAGAGCAGGGAGAACAGCAATAACCCCCAAAACAAACCCATATGCAAATATCTCCCAAACCTAAACTGACAGCACAATTCTGCATGCTTTTTTCTGTTTTTTTTCTTCTTCAGTTACCTGAGTGAGTCAAGGGCAATAAGCATGTTGTCAATTCCTGAAAAGCTTGAGCAACAGCGTGTTACCAACAATCCTGTAAAGCCTTAAGCAACAAGCATGTTTCCTTTACCTGGATGACTAAACGAGTATGTTGCCAATCACTGCATCAGCCATAGCAACAAGCATGTTGTATAATCACAGAACCATTGCTAAAACTAGTGTAGTTTGGTAGGGGACGCATACGCCCTGTAGCTCTGAGTCAGATGCAGTGCGCAGCTAAGCTATGAATACAGTCTGCGTCCTCATTCATGAACATGATTTCTGCTCCCTTCGTACTGATTTCCATCGGCTGTGGAGGTGAAGATGACGACTCCTTCACAGGACCATCAAGCTACGATGTAGTTGAATAACAGACCTCTGCGGTCATTGTACCTACTGTGTATTTTGCATAAGTATGTTACCGATAATCTAGATAGCTTTAGCCGCATAGCTAACTTTCACACAGCATGTTGCAATAATAAAGCGTTTTTCCAATGCAACCAGATAGGCCTAAAACTGCTTGATTACCACAGCATGTTGCTTCGGACAGTGGGCACAATAATACTAGAAGCATGAGCACATATTCGATAACATTTGCACAAGCAACCACTGTACAGCACTGATAACAGTGTAACGTAGCTGGAACAGCAGCATATTGCTGATACCTGATAATAAGCTTAGCACAGCATATCATAATGACACCAAATATATGCCTAAAACACAGCCATGTGCGGAAAAATAACTGGGCTAAATAACCTTACAAGTAAACAACCGTTTCCAGTTGCAACTAACAGCTTTCAGAGCAAGTAGTTTTCATTAGCCACTAGCTAGCCTTTAGATCAAAGAGTGTTTCAATATACAGTAGGTTATAGTCTTCAAAACAATCACATACAACACACTATAGCTTTCACAACGCTGTGTTTTCATAAAAACAACTAGATAAGCCCAAGCACATGGATAGCATTAGCAACAAGCATGTTGCCAATACCCTGATAGCTTTTTGCAAACAGGAACTTAGCTTAGCTTTGTGAAGACTTTCAGAGATGCAGACGTGAGCAGCAAAGCAGACTGAGGTCACTGCAAACCAGGCGGCTTATGATCTTATTCCGTTATTAAAAAATTCTCATTTCACTCAGTGTATGTGAAGTGAAGCAGGACAACGTCCCACCAGATTCTCATCCACACACGACTTTTCGGGCTGTTGTTTAAAACAAATAAAGAACCAATAGAGGAGAAAGCACGAACAGTGTGCGCATGTCAAAAAATCAATTCTGATTTGAATCTTGTGACATATAAACGCGCACATCAACCCGATCACTTTATTTATCATCCATGTGAACACCTTGATTGGATTCATCAATCGTATTGATTTCATTCCGATTGTGTCCGTGTAAACGTAGCTAGTGTTTCTCGACTCTGCTCCTGAAGGAGCCCCAACACGGCACGTTTTCTTTGTCTCTCTAATCAAACACACATGGGGTTATATGTGATAATGAGCTGATGAGTTGAATCCGGTGTGTTTGATTAGGGTGCAGTGCAGTGTGTCCCTCAGGAGCGGGGTTGAGAAACACTGTATAGACCATTTCACAAGATGTAAACAGCACTGGTCCAGAAGCACTTCCTGTTTAAGTTTGTAACTGTTTTCTTTATTTCACATGTGAAGAAAACATCTTAAAGATGTTTCTTTAACTTTTTGATTCAGTTTTAAATGTTCTGTTGGTTGTATTTTATCCCAGCTTTTATGTAGTGTTAAAAAACTGAAACAGGAAGTGCTTCTGGACCAGTGTTGTTTACATCTTGTGAAATGGTCTATAGTATTAGCTGATGCGAGCCTGACTAACGTGACCTGCCAGAACTGACGCTACGCTTGATATCTCATAATCTTCTTCAAAATGATGGTTAAACACCACTGTCCCTATTATTATTATTTGGAGCCATCAGCAAATGATTCATATCTGAGGATCACCTTATCCTGGGGTTTACACAGTTATCCATTCATTCCTATCGTGAGAGTAATATATACAGTATATATACATAAATCCCAAACAGAATTTTTTCCACCAGCCAATTGAAGAAAAGAAGCTAAAGGAAAACTGCCATGAATACAAGCAAAATCACTCATCCAAACACACAGACCCTATCTTGCTGGTAATGTTTGAGTGTAAATGTATAGAAAGATAAATGAATCACTGAATTATAATGTTTAGCTGGTGTTGATTTGCTCCCGCTGTTTCCGCTTCAGTGCCGATGTGAGCGTCGTCTGTGAATATATGTTGCTGCAATCACTGCAGAGACTATCGCATTCACAGCCTGAAGATGATTTATGATAAAATATGTCCACATGGGGATGATGATGTTTACAGCTTAAGCTGCTATTTATGTCATGGGCTCATTTTAATGACGGCCTTGACTCTCCTGTGTGTCTTTAACTCCTGTGATTACAGCCGCGTTCAGAACCGCACACACTACTTTACTGCTCTTATCATTCCTGCCTTAGAAAGATATGGTAGAAATAGCAAGAAATGCTGTTCTGAATTCAGCTACAGTGAATTGGCTTTCTTTATTTCCCTCACACAGAATGAGGAAGAGTTAAAGAGATTGGACCAGAAAATACATTTTGGACTTCTCCAGTGAATAATGTTTTCTTTGTTTCCATTCAATAAAACAGAAAATATCTTTACAAGACAAAAGTCTCTTCGATGTACTGCACACTTTTTTGCCCAGCAGTGTATATTATGAATACTCTTGATCTAAAAGAAAGAGTATGAATTTTGCTTGAGCATTCTAACAAACTCAGTGTATTTTGTGGACATTTTAGAGATGTTTTATTAAGATAAACCCATTCATATGTAAAGGATGCTTTTGTGTATGATAATTTCACCAAATGTCAGCCACTGAATACATTATTCTGAGTAATTACGTTATTAATAGTTGGTCAAGAAAGTTACCAGTAAAACACCATTATCAGTATAATTTGGGCTTGTTATATTTCAATGCAGTTTTTTCAACTTTTCAAAGAAATGCCAAGAGTTGATCCAGCATGAAATAAAGACTGCAAGATTAAAGGATCTGTAAATGAATCTCGATCCTCTCTATAACGGCCTATATAACATCCTCAGGGGATTTCAGCTGAACACAATATTGTAAAGAGAAAACCACACAGACGCCTTACGATGAAAATGAATGATTCTAACAGTACTAACTGAAGATAGACTCAAAGATGCACTAGTGCACGACACCTAACAGTTGATTTGTGAGGAGAGCAATCACGTTTATTTTCTGAAATTGCAATAAATCAAGGTTGACGTCAGTCTCTTAGCAAACACTCGAGTCTCAGTTAAACTCAAGAGCTCAAAAAGGCACAAGTAAACCAATATCCTTCAAAAACCTCTCTTCAATATAACAATAACAGATAAATTAATTAATTAATGTTAAAGTTGCAATAGGTGATCTGGGAAATAATAACTTTAGCTTGCTAGCATTGAAAGCATACGATTCCACCCTCCCTGTAAATTGCCATCCAAATCGTCAGCCAAACCACACCTCCTCCAAAGCCACACCTCCTCCGAAGCCACACCGCCTCCAAAGCCACACCTCCTCCAAAGCCGCACCTCCTCCAAAGCCACACCTCCTCCAAAGCCGCACCTCCTCCAAAGCCACACCTCCTCCGAAGCCACACCGCCTCCAAAGCCACACCTCCTCCAAAGCCGCACCTCCTCCAAAGCCACACCTCCTCCGAAGCCACACCGCCTCCAAAGCCACACCTCCTCCAAAGCCGCAAACAAATATGATTGGTTAATGTCAAGTTTTCATAATCAAGACATTTTAAACAATGTCAACTTTGCATTAAAAGTGTCCTAATTTACCGAATGACACTTAATGACAACAGTCATGAACATTCACAAAGACACCTTCATGTTCATGACAGGGGTTATATCATGTTCATGACAGTGTCATGTCAGTCTTATGCACACCCCTTCAAATAAAGAGTTGCCTTCTCTTCTCTCCCATATAAACACACTCTCTCTTCTGATTGTGTTTCTACAGTTCTTCATTCTGTTGCTCCTGATATTGTTGTTGGAGATTCTGTTCATGATTCTGTTCTTCGCATATCAAGATCAGGTACGTGCCAAATGGATCTGTCTTTTTACCCTATTTATTATTTCATGTTATTTCACTGACTGTGGTTGGTCAATAGCGGCATTCAGCTCTCACATATTTAATTGTAATGACACTAAACTGTATAATCAGTGATTTCCAGTTTCATGAGTCTCGTTTCATTTCACACTCCTCTCAAATCATAACATTAATTACACAGAAATCAACATTTAATGACCATGCATTTATTTATGTAGCCATGCAGTAAGTGCCATAATGTCTTTATCATGTCTTTATCATATTTATGATTTATAACGTCAGTCTTTGTCTTAAATAAACATATGTTATAATTGAGGGTTAAAAGTCTGTGGGAACCTTTATCTTAACATTAGATTTTCAGATTTGAAACATTTGAAAAAGAGTCTTTACCTTTCTTGGTAAGTTCCCTCAGGATCAGCACTGAGAGCGGTGCAAGTAAGCCTGATATTCTTCATTGTGTTAGTATCATCTACAGCCATGGATATGAATGATATATACAGTTTGATGAATATTGCAGCACTGCAGGACCACAAGGCTGAGCTCAACACAAAGCTCATGCGCTGAGATCACTGAGGAACAGTTGCCGAGAATTAGATCCAAGGACACATGATGACTTCTTTCTCAATGTGATGTAATCAGACTGTCTTCTCCTTCTTTGTCTGTGAGAGAATGTTTTCCATTGGTTTTCTTGGCCATTCTCTTCACAGCACATATGGCAGCGTAGTGTGATGATGGGCATTTTCCAAAGACTCGTCCAAGCATATTTTCACTGGCTGTGTGTCAAATCTCTTCTTCTCTTCCTCCAACACAGTGAGACAAAACACACGATTAATTCACAATTCATCGTGATAATCTTCTCACCGTCAACGTTTTTTTTTATTTCGGTGAAAATTTGCATCGTGAAGCTAATTAAATTATTACAACATAGAGATGACAAAAATACGATGCAAAGAAAGAGATAAACAATGCACTTTTCATCAGTGTTTTAAAATATAACTTGAATCCGCACAAAATTACACAAATGCACTAAGTTATGTGCAGTGAATATGTGGGCGTGACGTTTGTGAGATGTTTCCATAACTAAAACACGCACGATGAATAATCGCAGCATAAGGAATTTCTCAAATGGCGCACAGGTGCTATTGAACAGCTTGGGCTGTGAAACACAAGAGACATATTTAGAAGAAATCAGATTTAGTGATAACACGAGTCTTCATCACCAACAACAATCAGAAATAATATGTAAATTATATTAAATCATGTTTGTGTGTGTGTGTGTGTGTGTGTGTGTGTATATATATATATATATACCAGCCTATATCTATCTATACCAGCCTAATGATTTGAACATAAATTATGATATCACTGTAATGAGACTTTACTGATTTGATAGAGTTATTAAAAGGTAAACTTGACAGACACTTTTGGAGATGTGGGTTTATCCTTCACTTCATGCGGTGTGTTAGTCGTGTTTGTGAATATCACTATTAGCACAGAAAACAGCAGGTGATGGTGTTGGCCTCAGTGAAAAAAACAAATATGATTCATAATTCACCAATAATGTTATTGTTTTTATTCTAAGAAGGCAAAGGTTTGTTGTTTAGGTTTAGAGTCATTGTTGGGTTTAGTGATTATAAATTATCTTTATTGGATAATAAAGGGGAGTGTGTACAGTAAGTGTGGATTGATACACACATCAGCAGAAAGGCAGCGATTACATTGATAAACTGGCAATATGAGGCTGAAATTGTGTTATTCTGTACATACTCTTTCTTCCGGTCCACACAGATGATTAGAAATGACCTCCTTGACCTCTTTCTGCTTCTTCCACTCTACCGCTATTTATTATTTATGATTTATTACTGTATTACATCTATCAGGAAGGCTGTGAAGGGCATCGAGCCAGCAGCCGATGTCGGATCACAGGGACTATAGAAGAGAGGACGCTCGCGCTCGTTCCAAAGTGATGCTTATTTCATGCACATTTACGTTTCACACGACAGCTCCTCATGCTTGCACACAAATCCTGTCTGGAGGACTGTAGGGAAACCCAGTCCTTTGAGGACCGCTTTCATTGGCAGGGTGTAACAGTATAGATCGCTGTCTTGCTCCTGTTTGCTCATTTCATCGCTGTTTGTGGTGTTGAATAATTCATTGATGACGGTCCGTTTGGCCGACTGATGACGGAAGTGCAAATCCTCTGAAGTAAAAGCTGCAAAACCTTCATTTATAACTCATGCTACTTATGTCAGAAAACTAATATTCCTTAAAAACTTCACCTAACTTCATGTATTCAGCAAAGAATAGTTAAGATGTTTATATGCAATCAATTAGATTTCAAATGCGTTTCATGTCTTTATGTTTACTGCTTCTGTCGAGGAAGTATATTTAATATGCATATGTGCCGACACTACTGCATTCTAAGTGCTGTAAAAGGTTTTTGCTAGCCTGACTCCGTCATACTCATATTATATTCAGAATGTGAGTCTGATACTGCTTCATAGGGCTTTGATTATGAGGCGTGTCCTAAACGAACCAGGAAAAAAAACCTCTGCACTCAATTGGATAGACCTACAACCAATCAGAGCAATGCAGCAAGTCAGCTATAGTTGCATAGCATGAGTCAACAGAACTCAACTGCACGCACGCTGGAGGAAGTAAAATAATGAGTGTTGATTCACAATTTCACACTATAAGTCCGATAGAATAATGCATGTTTGGCGTGCTGTCCGAGGAGAGGGCTCCGGGCTCGGTACATGGCTCGAACCCAGAGTACACCCCCCAAAAGCTGCAAATAAAATGCAGGACAGCCGCCAGAATGATGCTGACGAAAAAAAAATTGCGGAATGCAAAGCTTAAGGTATCAGGTTGTTTTTAACGTTGGCCGGGAGTTGGTTGTCTTGAGGTCGGATGGGTGTGCCTCTCGGGGGGGAAGGATGTGAATGGTCTACTGCAGGAGTGGAGGAGAGAGGTATAGCTGTTGCAGTGGAAGCGAGGTGGATAGAGAAAAAGGAGGAGAAGACACTGCTGCGGCAGCGGAGCAAGTTAACCTGGAGTAACAGAGCTGCTGTGACAGTAGACAAACCTGCGTTTGACTCGCTTTCCTGGGATCCTATGGTGGGTTGGGAGGAAGTTAGCTGAGGAGGGTTCGTTGAGCTTTTTGGGTATGGAAGTGGTTTGAACGGATGTAACTCTTAAAGGCCCCCGACGACCAGCGACGGGGCTGGGGTTCGGGTTATAGGGTTTACTCTACAGTAACCGTGTCAATGAGACCCGAGACAGGTATATTGGTATATGTATAAGTACACATTGATGAAATGTGTCGAGATGAGATTTTGTAGCATTTATAATCAAGATTAAAGTAGGGATTTGCACCTTTCTTACAATATATTCAAGTTTGATGAGGTAAGTTGAACAAGGACCGAGATCATCAAGAACATGCAGCAGAGATGGGACAGTAGTTTGAGTTTTCAGAAGTAATGCTGAGGACCTTTGCGCTCGGCCAGCAGGAGTGACTTCAGACAAGCACAGCTTTGTTCATTCATCCAACTGTCTCTTTCCCAGCTCATGTTCAGCTCTGTGGGCCTCAGACATTTAACACCAGCAGAATGAGTTTCGGTCTAAATCATGCATACATCCATTCAAATTGTTTCAATAATAGTTTTTATACAAAAATTAAATTTGCTTGCATTTAATAAATGAGGCTCATACACATTTATGATTTTTTTTAATCATTTGCATTTAATGTTTTTTTTTTATTATTGTCATTATATTTAGTGCGTTTAGAAAAACAGAATAATCTGACCAAAAAAATCTTATGAGGTCATGAATTCTTAAACTAACTGTTCCACATTTGTCATAATTTAGACTTGTTCAAGTCAAATGAAAGATTAGTATCAAAAGAGCACACACAGGTTCCTACCCGACGACGAGGACTTCGTCAGAGCAGCCATCGAGTCTTAGACAGCAGTCTAGGTGATTACGTGAGGAAGTTATTGGTCCAATAATTAGAATCTCTGTTTTTTCAGAATTAAGTAGGAAAATACTAGTCATCCAATCTTTTATATCAGCTATGCATTCCGTTAATTATGTAAATTGGTAAGTTTGGTCATGGCGTGAAGAAAATGAGCCGAGTATCATCAGCACAACAGAGAAAGCTAATGCTATGCTTCCTAATGATTTCTCCTAATAGTAGCATGTACAAAGTGAACAGCAGCGGTCCTAGGACTGAGCCTTGTGGAACACCATACTGAACTTTGAACATGTGATTGATGAAGACATTTACTACTAGAAAATGATAACGGTCAGATAAGTGTGATTTAATCCATGCTAATGCAATTCCACTAATGCAACACAATTTCCGCATCTATCCAAAACATTGTTGTGGTGGATGGTATCAAATGCAGCACTAAGATCCAGTAACAGTAAGTCCTCTGCACAGACCCCTATGACCAGCTCATGACCATTTAAATTCTCAATGATGTCAATCAACATTCTGACTTATAACGCTGCCTGAATCATAATGACCAGCATGTTCACTCGTTGGCCAGAGGAGAACCGAGCGACTGAACCTGGTTCATCCCGAGGGTTCCTCATTCTGTCTCTGATGGAGTTTGTGTTCCTGCCACTGTCGCCTCTGGCTTCACTTCTACTTCATTAGGGACACTTAATATTCAACAATATTATTGATCTGACTGTCATGACGCTGCTGAGAACTGTGCTGGATAATGACTGTTTACTTTTGTGTTTTTAAGCATCATTGAATCATTATTTTCCTGTTTATCCCTGTAAAGCTGCTTTGAAACAGTCGCCACTGTGTAAAGCGCTATAGAAATAAAGGTGATTTGACTTGACATAGCAGATCATGAAGTTTATTATTGTGGGAGATGTATTGTGCCATAAATCAGCAATTGTTGGCGCTGTGTTGTAGATTGATCTGTATGCGCAGAGTGACCTGAAGAAGGGGCTCCAGCTGTTCGGGACAGAGGGCAACATCGGCCTGACCAACGCCTGGAGCATCGTCCAAACCGACGTGCGTTCACTTATTACTCTTTCCCAGAGCATGGCGAGATGTGGTAACGGTTTTGGTGTGACGATAGTGCTCTGTGTTGTAGTTTCGCTGCTGTGGAGTGACCAATCACACGGACTGGTTTCACGTGTACAACGCCACGCGTGTGCCGGACTCCTGCTGTCTGGAGTACAGCGATAACTGCGGCCTGGAGAATCCCGGCACCTGGTGGACGGCTGTAAGACACACCACACACTGCCCATCCTCAACATGACTGTGTGTGAGCAGGAATTGTACAATAGCGGAGTAACGGATGTGTCTGTGAGTTTGAGCAACGGATGTGTGTGTGAGTAACGGATGGTGTGAGTAACAGACGGTGTGTGTGTGTGTGTGTGTGTTGACAGCCGTGTTACGAGCGTGTGAAGGGGTGGCTGCAGGATAATCTGGTGGCGCTGTGGATCTTTGCGCTCTGCACAGCTCTGACACAGGTACTGAACACACACACACACACACAATAATCCGGATATGCGAGAGATTGTCATTGACATGCGTTTGTGTTTCCAGATCCTGGGCCTCGTGTTCTCCATGACCATGTTCTGCCATGCGGTGAAAGCGGACACGTTCTACGCATAGAGAACCGTTCCAGCCGTTCTGCTTCGTCTTCACACACGTCACTCTCTATCGCTGTAGCAATCAAGCCTAACATTTTGCTAACACACACTGATATTTGTAACATGATTTTATAATTCAATTCAACTAAAAAAAAAGGGGGAAAAAAATACAAATGGCAAAAAATGAAAAAAAATTACTGGACAATTTTCCGTCTGTGAAGAAAAAATAGCAATGTTAAACAGAAACTAGTAACTAATGTCATCATTTTATATTTCTATAATTTCATATTAATATGAATGAAATGAACAACAGCAATTTTCATTTAGTCAGAATGGGTCCTCAATAAATGTAAAACGCAAGACATTAAGATCACGTTGTTTATTCAGTTCTTGTGTAGAAAGCAGGAGCTCTTATCCTGTCAAACAGAAGCTGAAGTGTGTCCTGCGTGCAGCTCTAGAGAGTCATCAAACTCTATTAAACATGTCTGATATTAAGGCATTAGAATTATTCACGGAGCTGATAAAACACCTATAATCATTCACGTTTACTCATCCCTTTCCTTAAGAATGGTTTCAAGGCTGAAATATGAGAGTTATCATTTTATCTAGCGTTTTGTCAATACTTCATTTGAACATGTAACTCATGTTAGTAACATTACGTTGTAACACTAGTTCATTTAAAGTCCGGCCATCACTGTTAATGTTATCAATCATTTCTGCTGTTGTTGCATTTATTAAAAAATTAACAACTGATTTTGTAATCCCTGTCAGTAAAACAAATGCTTGTCTGCTAATGTGTGCGTGTGAGAGTGTGTGTGTGTGCGTGCGTTTTTCTGTGTGATGAGAGAGAATGTGTGTGTGCATGCATGTTTGTGTGTGCGTGGTTTTTAGGTTATTACGGTTTCTGTTTTCTATAGTGTGATGAACATCAGCAGTCCTGCAGAGACTGGCGCCTCCTGCTGGTGTAGAAATACAGTGTGTGCATGTGTGAGTGTGTGTGTGTGTGTGTGGGTGTGTGAGTGCCACCTCCTGCTGGTGTGAACCACAACTGATAATAATCATAAATGTTTCTTGATCCTCATATTATAGTGATTTCTGTAGGATCATGTGACACTGAAGACTGGAGTAACGATGCTAAGCATTCAGCTTTGATCACAGGAATAAATTACACTTTACTGAATATTCACTTAAATTATGATATTTCACAACATTACGGGTTTTTTTTAATTGAATAAATGCAACCTTGGCTGAGCAGAAAATACTTATTTTAAAACCATTAAAAATCTTAACGATCTCAAACTTTTGAATGGCAGTGTACACACACACACACACACACACACACACACAGAGAGAGAGAGAGAGAGTACGGTAAGTGTGTCTCCACAGGCGCTTTCATGATGATTTCATACAATATACATCAAATATCTCTTTCTTCCATTACAGCTTCATTCAACTGATCAATAATTCATCCTGATTTCTCTTCATCTGCAATAAAACACCTCGGTCTCTGTCTTCCAGAATATGATTATGAAACTTTTAATAACAATGTTTCAAGTTTATGGTTGTAAAAATGAACAAGTGGCCACAATCTCACGGGGAAAAGTGATAAAGTGCATTATGTATTATTATCTGCATTATGAAACACCTGAAAATGAAAACTTCCCTTTGTATTGCAATATTGAAAGATCAGATTCAAGACTCTCTGAGATCGTCATGTTTGTATGAATATAATATATATATATATATATAAAAAAAAGATTAGCATGCGTATAATCCTGTTAGCAATCTGTCAGGCTGTAAAGTAGTATAGTAATAAGTGTACAATAGTATGCATGCAAATTAACTGTAAGTAATAGACAAAGTACAACAGAAACGTGTCATTCATTCTCCATGTATTCATCGTCTGACATCATATATAATCACGAACAGATGGACGTGTTCTCGCCACCTACTGGCGAACGTGTAAACATATTTATGTTCAGATTACACAATTGACAGTGCTTCCAATCGCACAACAACTATCTGGCATGTTGTTTACACCTCAAAACACCAACTTTTGTAAATTAAAACTGGCAACGTCCTGGCACAGTTTCGTTGCTAGAGAATGACGTTCTTGCCCACCAGACAATTCTTGTGACGTCACGTGCAAAGTATGAATAAAGGGTTAAAAACACTGCTGTACGAGACACCGTATAATATACATACACCGTATACAGAGTTACTATAGTTTGCCTTGATTTTAAAAAAGGAGGAGGAGGAGAAGGGGGAGGAGGAGGAGGAGAAGAAGGAGGGGAGGAGGAGAAGGAGGGGATAAGGAGGAAAAGGAGGAATAAGAGGAGAAGGAGGAAGAACAGGAGGAACAGGAGTAAAAGGATGATAAGAAGGAGGAAGAGGAGGAAAAGGGTGAGGGTGAGGAGAACGAGGATGAGGAGGAGGAGGGAGAGTAGGAGAAGAAGGAGGAGGACGGGGAGGAGGAGGAGAGGGAGGAAGAGGAAAAGGAGGAGTAGAAGGAGGAGAATCAGGAAGAGGAGGAGGATGAGTAGGAGGAGGAGGAAGAAGAGTAGAAGGAGGAGGAGGAAAAGGAGGAGTAGGAGGAGGAGAATGAGGAGGAAGAGGAGGAAAATCAGGAAAAGCAGGAGGAGGACGAGGAGGAGGAGGAAGAAGAGTAGAAGGAGGAGGAAGAAGAGGAGGAGGAAGAAGAAGAAGAAGATGAGAATTAGGAGGAGGAAGAGGAGAAGGAGGAGGAAGAGGAGAACATCATCATGTTTAGATCAACAGAATGAGGACAGTTGGAGTTTTGACTAGAGAAACATAAAACTGTATACTGTAGTAGATCAGTGTTTCGATGAGTTCACATTTGGCAGGTCTCTATTATATAAAACACTGCTGTACGAGACAGCATGTAACATACCATCTTGAATTACAAAAGACAGAATGAAATCATTGTAAAGAGGTAGGGTACCGTCCGTTGAGTTTTGCAGTGATTATATTTAAGTTCCAGACAAGTAACATCAAACGTGTTCACCCTCCACACAAACACATGCCATATTTACATATCAGTTCAACCATTTGTATGATAGAAAAACCTGAGCTTCCAACGCAGTTTGTCACAAGTCCAGCGTTCTCAAAGTCAATGATGGCACGATGATTTCAGTCAATCACTATCCACAGGAAGTTCCACAGGTTCAATCAATTCAAAGATGACAGACTCAGTCAATAATCCATTGATAATTCCCACGCGCACTAAGCGGTCGAACTTAGAGTAAAACAATCCAACAGAGAAACTTGTCTCAAGCCGTATTTAGCATGTGCTTAATTAGAACATTAGGCTTAAATGAGTAGCAGAGAAAATAACAAGTTGTCCTCAAAAACCTAAACCACAGATGAATACCTTGAGCTACTGCTCACATCCATGTTATCATCACCTCCTCCTAACTTCACTTCTTCTCTGCTTATATCCGCATCCTCACCTTCAGAACTGAGGACATCGCCCCCTAGTGAAGCGGCAAAGCACCAGTGAACTCACCCTAGACAGACTGATCTCATGTAGTAGTGTGTGTATGACACGCCAATTCGTATTTCCATTTTTGGCGTGCTATCAAGACGCATAATCGCCTTTCACCGTGTTTATGAACGCCGTTGACTTAACGTTATATAAATATATGACTTACCTCAACCCCGTCCCTAAACCTAACCGTCACTGGGGTTAATGGCATTTATGACTGGAGATTTGACTGTGTGTTCAGACACGCGGAATGACGTGGACGTTAATGGCGTAGACATATACGCATACACGCGGATAGCACAAAATGCGTGGAGATAACACGCCACCTGACTGGAAAGTGGCGTATATGTTTACGCAAAAGTCATGATGTCATGTTGCCCTAGAACTGTTACACTCCCGCCCCTTTAGAAGGCTGGACAGTCCTGTAAAATGGTTTCAACTTTTCAACATGATATGTGTCAATACTACCAGGATTCTCAAGCATTTTTACCTTATAGTTTACCCTGTTAACTTGTGCCACTATTTCAGCAGGGCCTTGCCATTTGGCCGCTAACTTTGCCATGTAAGCATTTGCTGCACAAGACAATGGGTGGGTGAGTATCCAAACTAAGTCTCCTGCTTGATACTGTACTGATGTCCTACGTAGATCATAATAGCAGGCTTGTCGTTCTTGTGCTTTACTCAGATTCTCCTTTACCCTTTCTAGCATCACTTTTTGCCGCTCTAGCAAATTGTCTCATAGCTAATTTAACAGCTGGGAAGTGAACTGAGGTCCCCTATCTGACACCAGATACACAGGTGTCCCCCACCTTGTGAAGATGTCTTTAATTAAGATGTTGGCTATAAAAGGGGTCTTTGCTGATCTCATCAGGAACATTTCTACCCACTTGCTGCAGTAGTCAACTACCACCAATATGTACTTATTCAATCGAGTGCTTTTGGGAAACGGTCCCATCAAGTCGATCCCCAGCATGTATCCTGGTTCAACCACTGGTGTAGACTGCAGTCGACCTGCAAGCTTGGTAATACACGGTTTATACTGTTGGCATACTTGACATTCCTTACATATCCTCCAGACATCTTTACGAATCTCAGTCCAGTAAGTCACTTCCAATAGCCTCCTCAATGTCTTCATCCGTCCCAGGTGACCACTTAATGGGTTGGCGTGTGCATATTGCAAACACTGCTCACGAAACTTGGTGGGCATGACAACCTGTAAATTCTGGCACCCGTTCTTGTCCATAGTACTTCTGAAAAGGTAAGCATTAGGCTAAAATAATGTACTCGGTTAGAAGACTTCACCTCACTCTCATTTACCTCACCCCACAGTGGCTGGAGAGTAGCATCCTCCTTTTGTTCACGGACAATATCTTCCCAGCTCACCGGTAAGTCATAGGTTACACTGTTTGCATGGGATAGAGCTATAGTGCCCTGACTTTCTTCTTCCACTCCCCTTGACAATGTATCTGGAACCAGGTTACACTGGCCTTTCCGATACTTTACAATAAACTCAAAGCTCTGCAGTCTGATCGCCCATTCTGTCATGGTTGGCTTTAACCTCAAGCACAAAGCTCTATACTGATAGACAAAAGATCGAATGTCCTCCTCACCCACTACCTGTTTTCTTCCTCTGATCCTTCCCTCTGCCCCTACGTCGATTGTCAGGTAAAAATGACTTAAGAAAAGATGTCTTAAATTGTATCCAGGTCTTAATACGTGCTTTCTCGGCTATCCACCAATCCTTAGCCGTATAGGTAAGCACAGATGGCAACATATTACAACCATATAATATAGACGAATCCAGCGAAACTACCGGAAGTAAGCGGGCGCCATTACTGAGTTGTTGCTGGGTAACGTTGCGCCATTGACTCCCATTGTTTTAGTTGCAACTTGCGTCCACTGGAATAAACAGCCCGCGATTTACGACTGTCACTAACGTTACAACGTTAGCCCTTGTATAATGTCGAGTGGGTAAACAGTTTCCGTTATAAATTGTTTCTATGGTGGCAGTAAAATTTCAATTTTGAAGAGAAAACATTGTGAATACCCCGGGTCGACTGCCCCTGTCTGGAGCCGTACGGTTTACAAAGATTTCCTGGGCGAGTACAAGACGCGGACATTCGCGTATAATAACAATTATTTAATGACATAAGTAAAAAATATAATAAATATGTGATATAGTGATCAGCAAAATCTCCTCTCTTGCTATTTTTTCTATTCAATTAACATGCTATGGTCATTAAATGGCTTTCCTGAGCTAATATAACGTTATGTGACATAATTGTTCTCCCGCTGTTATATTGACCTCCTTCCATGGTTTAAAAAACACTAATTGGTCGATATTATGTATACTTTCTAGCTGTAACGTTACCTTACCCTTGCCCGTTGCAATGTGAAAATGAGATAAATAATGGACACAAATGAAAAACATGAATTTGAAGAAGAGGAGGATAAGGAGGAATAAGAGGAGAAGGGAAGGAGGAAGAGGAAGAAGAAGAGGAGCATAAGGAGGAATAAGAGGAGAAGGGAAGGAGGAAGAGGAGGAGGAGGAAAAGGATGAGGGTGAGGAGGAAAAGGATGAGGAGGAAAACGATGAGAGTGAGGAGGAAAAGGACGAGGAAAACGAGGATGAGAAGGAAGAGGATTCCTCTTTAGCGAAGAGGGTTCCTCATTCCCGCACACGAGTCTTCCTCACGCTCCTCATTCCTGCATCACGAGTCTCCCTCAAGCTCCTCATTACCACACGAGTCTTCCTCAAGCTCCTCATTCCCGCACACGAGTCTTCCTCAAGCTCCTCATTCCAGCACACGAGTCTACCTCACGCTCCTCGTTCACACACACACACACACACACACACACACACACACACACACACGAGTCTTCCTCACACTCCTCATTCCCGCATCACGAGTCTCCCCCAAGCTCCTCATTCCCGGCCACACACGAGTCTACCTCACGCTCCTCGTTCACACACACACACACGAGTCTTCCTCACACTCCTCATTCCCGCACACGAGTCTCCCTCAAGCTCCTCATTCCCGCACACAAGTCTCCCTCAAGCTCCTCATTCCCGCACACGAGTCTCCCTCGCGCTCCTCATTCCCGCACACGAGTCTTCCTCGCGCTCCTCATTCCCGCACACGAGTCTCCGTCGCGCTCCTCATTCCCGTACACGAGTCTCCCTCGCGCTCCTCATTCCCGCACACGAGTCTCCCTCGCGCTCCTCATTCCCGCACACGAGTCTCCCTCAAGATCCTCATTCCCGCACACGAGTCTCCCTCAAGCTCCTCATTCCCGCACATGAGTCTCCCTCAAGATCCTCATTCCCGCACACGAGTCTCCCTCACGCTCCTGATTCCCGCACATGAGTCTTCCTCGCGCTCCTCATTCCCGCACACGAGTCTCCCTCGCGCTCCTCATTCCCGCACACGAGTCTCCCTCAAGCTCCTAATTCCCGCACACTAGTCTCCCTCAAGCTCCTCATTTCCGCACATGAGTCTTCCTCACCCTCCTCATTCCCGCACATGAGTCTTCCTCGCGCTCCTCATTCCCGCACACGAGTCTCCCTCAAGCTCCTCATTTCCGCACACGAGTCTTCCTCACGCTCCTGATTCCCGCACATGAGTCTTCCTCGCGCTCCTCATTCCCGCACACGAGTCTCCCTCAAGCTCCTAATTCCCGCACACTAGTCTCCCTCAAGCTCCTCATTTCCGCACACGAGTCTTCCTCGCGCTCCTCATTCCCGCACACGAGTCTCCCTCGCGCTCCTCATTCCCGCACACGAGTCTCCCTCGCGCTCCTCATTCCCGCACACGAGTCTCCCTCGCGCTCCTCATTCCCGCACACGAGTCTCCCTCGCGCTCCTCATTCCCGCACACGAGTCTTCCTCACCCTCCTCATTCCCGCACACGAGTCTCCCTCGCGCTCCTCATTCCCGCACACGAGTCTCCCTCGCGCTCCTCATTCCCGCACACGAGTCTTCCTCACCCTCCTCATTCCCGCACACGAGTCTTCCTCACCCTCCTCATTCCCGCACACGAGTCTTCCTCAAGCTCCTCATTCCCGCACACGAGTCTCCCTCGCGCTCCTCATTCCCGCACACGAGTCTCCCTCGCGCTCCTCATTCCCGCACACGAGTCTTCCTCGCACTCCTCATCATCAGGGAACACCGGATCGGCAGATTTTCTGAATCTGGGTTACAGTGACCTTTAAATTGTATCCAATTTTACACCTTTATTGTTAACTGTAAAATGTTATTTTTTTATCAAACTTTATTTTGATGGTCAACTTCAGACATTCTCCTAACTATAAATAACTCTTTAACTGCATGTCCGCTAACTCAGAGTATTAGCACACTTGGGTTTTGGGGTCGGGTTGCACCAGCCGTTCGTAACTTCTTTCTTAAATTGGATCGTATAGTCCACACTAGAGGCTTAGAAACTACTAGCTAGTTTGTAACTCTGTACTTTATTCCGTTGCAGCACTTGTTCGTAAGGAGAACGCAGCTAGTAGGTCATAAGCTCTCCGTAAAGTAATGCGTAGTCGCATATGACGTTTAGCCTCGATGACCCAATAGCAGCCTTGAAATACGTGAGCAGAAGTTGTTTAAATGCTGGGAATTTCAGTTTATCCTTTATTTTAACTTCTTTCGCCTCTCTTAAATAACAGTGAAAATACTTTTACATTACAAAGTACTTAATCTACGAAGCCCCTAGACATGGTGGTGGAAAAAATTGTAAGCAAAACTCAAAACTTTTGCGTTACCCCGAGAAACTTTGCGTTCCCACGCAAAAGTTTTGTGTTCCCTCACAAAGTTATTTGCGTTCCCACGCAAAACCTGTTTGGTGCTGTTCTCTCACCAAAACTTTGGACGCAAAACTTTTGCGTGGGAACGCAAATATCTTTGTGAGGGAATGCAAAAGTTTCTCGGGTGAACGCAAAATTCTCGGGGAAACGCAAAAGTTTTGAAAAAAAAAATCTCCCATCCTAAATTTTTTTTCCACCACCACGTCCCTTTAGGGGCTCCGTAAAAACTCTGTGAAGAATCGGTGGTTTCTAACACAACGTATAATACAAGGACAACAAAGCAGGTCTAGAATACAGAGAATTGGATCCACAATAGTTTAAAAAGCTTTAACGTGTCTCTATGAGCAGCGACACCAAGGAGACCGCGGCAAACTCCATCCCATGAGCTTTATTAATACTGATCGCCATCTTTCCTTCATATGATATGATCTCCATCAGAAACGTGGAGTTCATGTAAACAGCCGATGGCTCTGTTCAGTGAGCGCTGAGTAAAGCTGGTCTCTAAACCGCAGAGAAGCCCAGAGGAAACCACTTCTCCTGGTCCAGAACCCTCTCCCCCAGAACCACGTTTGTGGCCGCAACGAAAGCCTTCCTGCTCTTCACCGTGACCTCCAGCACACGGCCGTGGAGCTTCAGCACATTCCGGTACTCGATCTGAGAGGAAACAGCAGATCTCACGCTCAGATCCACACGGCTGGACACACACGTACAGATGAAGATGTTCTCTCACCAGTTCATTGAATGTGGGATTGTCGTTGCTGCGAACCGCTTTAGTCTTCCTCTTGCTCTGGTCGTGTGGATCGGGTCGCAGTCGCGTGACCACATACGCATCCGGACACGAGCCGTTGGACAACCTCTGAGAGAGAGACACACACACCTGCTTCAAAGTTATGAAAAGAGGCTCTTCCAGTAGCGGTAATATGATCTGGTCTTTAATAATGTTCTCAGAACATTAGCACAAAAACATTGTTTATACATCGTTCAGTGTATAATGTAAATTAAAAATACAATAAAAACAGCAATGTTGAAGGGTTGAAAAATGACTCACAATATTTTTCAAGTGCTTGATCATGACAGATAGTTTGAAGTCTTTATATGACAGGTAGAGCTGGATCTGTGGCCGGAGATGAGCGTCTGCTTCTGAAACAGAAACGAGGAGCCGCTAACTGATGCAGAACTGCCGGAATATTGCAGTGTTTAAACAGAAGAAATAACTCTCGTCAAAGTGTAAAGCGCTTAGAAATTCCAGTCCATTTAATCTTCAAAATATCACTGGTTTGGGAACAAAATATGTGAATGAATCCTTAAACAAGTCAAAGCCAGACGACAGCAGATGTGTGTGAAACAGGATTATAAATCTATTTTTGTTACATTATTACTTTTTACACACTATAGTACTTCACTGTAAGATGTATTATTTATTTATTTGAATCAAATGCATTTATGATTTTATGATTATTCAATTATTTATTTTAATGAATTATTTAAATCAAATATATTTTTTATTTACTTAATTTTAATCATTTTATCTTAATCAGATGTCTTCATTATTTATTCAAATCAAGGTTCATTCATTTAAATCATTTTTATATATTTTAATCTAATATATAAATGTATTATTTATTTAAATAAAGCTTACTTATTTTAATATTTTCTTCATTTAAATTCATGAAAATTATTATTTAAATCAAGGTTTATTTATTTTAATCAAATGTATTTATTTTTCATTTAAGTCAAGGTTTATTCATTTTAATAAATAATTTATTTAAATCAAATTTTACTTCATCGTTTTTTATATTTACATCAAATTCAGTGAGTTAGTTAATCTTATTGTAATTATTTGAAAGTCACCTGATTTGCCAGTGGTGTCCGGTCCGTCCAGGAACAGGCTGCACACATACTCGTTCTGTCATAAACACAGTGAAACATCAGTGATGGTGCAGTGAACTCCGGGAAACATCAGTGATGGTGCAGTGAACTCCGGGAAACATCAGTCATGGTGCAGTGAACTCCGGGAAACATCAGTCATGGTGCAGTGAACTCCGGGAAACATCAGTCATGGTGCAGTGAACTATGGGAAACATCAGTGATGGTGCAGTGAACCCCTGGAAACATCAGTGATGGTGCAGTGAACTATGGGAAACATCAGTGATGGTGCAGTGAACTATGGGAAACATCAGTGATGGTGCAGTGAACCCCTGGAAACATCAGTGATGGTGCAGTGAACTATGGGAAACATCAGTGATGGTGCAGTGAACTCCGGGAAACATCAGTCATGGTGCAGTGAACTATGGGAAACATCAGTGATGGTGCAGTGAACTCCGGGAAACATCAGTGATGGTGCAGTGAACTCCGGGAAACATCAGTCATGGTGCAGTGAACTATGGGAAACATCAGTGATGGTGCAGTGAACTCCGGGAAACATCAGTCATGGTGCAGTGAACTATGGGAAACATCAGTGATGGTGCAGTGAACTCCGGGAAACATCAGTGATGGTGCAGTGAACTCCGGGAAACATCAGTCATGGTGCAGTGAACTATGGGAAACATCAGTGATGGTGCAGTGAACTCCGGGAAACATCAGTCATGGTGCAGTGAACTCCGGGAAACATCAGTCATGGTGCAGTGAACTATGGGAAACATCAGTGATGGTGCAGTGAACCCCTGGAAACATCAGTGATGGTGCAGTGAACTATGGGAAACATCAGTGATGGTGCAGTGAACTATGGGAAACATCAGTGATGGTGCAGTGAACCCCTGGAAACATCAGTGATGGTGCAGTGAACTATGGGAAACATCAGTGATGGTGCAGTGAACTCCGGGAAACATCAGTCATGGTGCAGTGAACTATGGGAAACATCAGTGATGGTGCAGTGAACTCCGGGAAACATCAGTGATGGTGCAGTGAACTCCGGGAAACATCAGTCATGGTGCAGTGAACTATGGGAAACATCAGTGATGGTGCAGTGAACTATGGGAAACATCAGTGATGGTGCAGTGAACTATGGGAAACATCAGTGATGGTGCAGTGAACTATGGGAAACATCAGTGATGGTGCAGTGAACCCCTGGAAACATCAGTGATGGTGCAGTGAACTATGGGAAACATCAGTGATGGTGCAGTGAACTATGGGAAACATCAGTGATGGTGCAGTGAACTATGGGAAACATCAGTGATGGTGCAGTGAACCCCTGGAAACATCAGTGATGGTGCAGTGAACTATGGGAAACATCAGTGATGGTGCAGTGAACTATGGGAAACATCAGTGATGGTGCAGTGAACCCCTGGAAACATCAGTGATGGTGCAGTGAACTATGGGAAACATCAGTGATGGTGCAGTGAACTATGGGAAACATCAGTGATGGTGCAGTGAACCCCTGGAAACATCAGTGATGGTGCAGTGAACTATGGGAAACATCAGTGATGGTGCAGTGAACTATGGGAAACATCAGTGATGGTGCAGTGAACCCCTGGAAACATCAGTGATGGTGCAGTGAACTATGGGAAACATCAGTGATGGTGCAGTGAACTATGGGAAACATCAGTGATGGTGCAGTGAACCCCTGGAAACATCAGTGATGGTGCAGTGAACTATGGGAAACATCAGTGATGGTGCAGTGAACTATGGGAAACATCAGTGATGGTGCAGTGAACTATGGGAAACATCAGTGATGGTGCAGTGAACTATGGGAAACATCAGTGATGGTGCAGTGAACTATGGGATAAATCAGTGATGGTGCAGTGACCCCCTGGAAACATCAGTGATTGTGCAGTGAACTCTGGGAAGCGGCTCAGTCATGCTTACTCCTCTGCAGGGCCCGGAGAACAGCTCCTTCAGGTACCGGTTCAGCAGGACCATCCTCCTGCTCGCCGTGAAGGACATGTGGAACCAGTGAGGGAACCTGGAAGCAGGAGAACATCGTATCAGGATCAGTGCAGCTCTCACTCACACACACACTCACACACACATACATATACACATACACTTTCCTCATCAGGCCGGCTGTGGAAG